CTCTGGATACACACCCGGCGTTCCTTAGACATCAGTCTGCTCAGGGGAGCAAGTTCAAGAATGGGCTGTAACGCAGATAAACGTGGGACACGGCAGGTGTCTAGACTCCATTGCCCGGCACTCCATTCACCTCACCCTGGAAGGCTCTTCACAGCCCACTTCAAACCTTGCAATGCAACTGAGTTTTGTCTCAATCGAAGTTTTAACTGAAACATCCAATTAAAAATAAACGTTAACTTCATAAACAATACCAAAACAATTGGACTCTTGTTTCCTTTTAAAGTTCTTTTTTTATATCTAAACGGTGAGGTTGAAGCAGTCGTGTACAAATGTATAGAAGAACATCACAGGTGTCTGATCATTTCTCTTGAACTTTTTCCCCCCCTAACTTCCATGTCTATCTTCCTCCCCAGCCTCTGCTCCCCCCCACCCCCACCTTCCAACACAGCCAGGCCCAAACCAAACCGTGCTCAAGCGGGTGGGTCCCCCTCGTAGCAGCATTCTGCTGGGTTTCCAGGGCTGTAAATCTTGACGCGAGCAGAAACCCTCATGTTTCTGCCGTGCACTGACTCGTGTACTTCTTCTTCAGACCGTGCAGTTAGCAGAAGGAATGTGGCTGTTTGCTTTACCTCCATACCAGACCCACCTGTTATCTACAGGGTTAGGTTCCAAAGACTTGATGATGCACAAAATCCGTGTTTTCAGAAAACAGATGATGGCCATATCAGATCACAAATGGAGGATGAATACAGCATGACATTATTACACGAATTCTGGATGATATCATAACATCACTGCCAAGCCACTAAGAATCATGGCCCTGTCAAGTTAACACGTACCGTGAACCGTCACCGCCAGTGTCACTGTCATCTCACGCTGCAGTATGTGTTACTGACAAGTGTATGCAGTAATGTGCAAAATCGTTGGGCTCTTTTACTTGGTCATAAATATGCAACGACAGACAATGAGATCGTGAGTGAGGACGCAGGTGGCTTTCTTTTGACCTTTGCTGTATGGAGTTAAGATTCAAATAAAAACTCAGTGGCCAGGCTTAGTAACCTTGGTTTCTTGAAAGATAGCATACGGTTTATAGGTTTGAAAATGGTTACCTTTAACTCTTTAAACACTCTAAACACTGTAAAGTGACATTTTGAAATCATTTGCTCTAGTAATTTCTGATGCAAGGTTTTTCTCCGGCATTAATATCCTTGTTGTTTTACTACCATCTTTCATTACCCTGGGGTTGGCTAAACCTTTACATTAAGAAGGCAATATGATAGTATTAAAAAAATAAGTTAATTCGGTGAATTAAGTATTGCTTGACAATAATACATCAAATATATTAAAATACTTAATTATTTGCTTGTTTCACATTATATAATCATGACCAAATAAAATTCTCCTTAATCAACATGCTGTTTATTTTTCTTATTCTCTTTAGGTCTTTTTACTTTTTTTTAACAAAATTCCTTTTTAAAGTTATTTTCTTCCACTGCAGTATCATTTTTCTCACCTTTCACTGACTACAGATTGAAGATTCAAGCTTTGTTATGTGCATGTAGATTTTAAAATATACTTTGGCAAAATGTATTTAACAAACATTCATCATTGTAACCATTTTAACTGGAAAGTTCTGTAACATTAATTATATTCACCGTCTTGCATGCCCGTGGTCACTATTCATTTTCAAGTATTTTTCTTCGCCTGATTCAGAGATTCAATAACACTTAAATGTAACTTCTCATTCCCTTTCCCCTAACCATGGGTGGCCCCTGATCCACTTTTGTCTTTAGGCATTTGCAATTCCTAGGTATTTCACAAAATATACATGTACATTTTAATTTTACAGGTAAATATTGGAAATATCATTGCAAAAGATTCAGGAAGGAGAAATACCCTTGCTCAGAGAAAGACTAGTAAAGTCTCCTTCCCACGCGATCCAGAAATGGGCTGGTGTGTCTTTTCCTGGTGCCAGTATTCCAGTTTTAATATTGTTCTATGATTTATGTTTTCTGTTGACATCTCAACTTCTTTTTTCCCACGATGATCCCTATATTTAACTAAATAACTTATTTTTCATTTGCACTTGCATTTTTGTTTATTATTTTCCATCTGTTAGCAATTGCATTTGGAAAAGCAACTCATAGAATTTATTGTTTTCAAAATAAACTCTCTTCTGTGACAGCACCATCTATTTAGACTTTTACTGACATGGCGTGTGAATTCTACGCCATGTTTTCAATTTTATTTATTTCATTGATCACCAATAGGACAAATGATTTGGGTTGGCTGAATTGGAAGCTTATATGTTATGTTACCACTGACCTGCTGAGTGGCCCATTTGAGACACTTCAGAACCATTTGAATAAGGGATGAACATGGCCGCGGTCTTTCCCTTTAATTACTTCCCACAGCAGATTTTAGCCATAGAGCAATCAGTTCCCTTGATTTTTAAGGATCCCTGGTAGTTCGGCAGTTAAGTGCTCAGATGCTGAGTGAAAGATTCGCAGGCGAACCCACCAGCCACCCTGTGGGAGAAAGCTGTGAGTGGGCACTTCTATAAAAACCGTAGCCTGGGATGCACCTGGGCTACCCGACTCTGTCCTATATGGTCACTGTGACTTGGAGTCAACAACAATGGATTTGGTTTGGGGTAATATTGGTTTTTTTTCTATTCATGTAGTGAGTCACCCTGGTAGGCTATGTGTTGACTTACTAACCAAAAGATCAGCAGTTTGAAACCACCAGCAGCTCCACAAGAGAAAGATGAGGCTTTCTAGTTCTGCAAAGAGTTGCAATCTTGGAAGCCAACAGGCACAGTTTTGTGTTCTATAGGGTTACTATGAGCCATGGTTGGCTCAATGGCAGAGTTTATATTCATGTTGTAGTTAATGTAGAAAATGAAAGTGCAGGTAAGCAAAATCATTACTTACGTATTTATTATAAGAAAACCACATGAAACAACGGAGTCCATCCAATGGAAAATTAAAATTTTGTCATCCACTTTAAAATAAGATGTATATTTTATGCTTGTGTTGTTTATATGAGATTAAATCAACACATATTGAAACCTTACCAAAAACCATAGACACCATCATGAAATAAAAACATAAAGATGTAAAGCTATAGTTTCTCAACATATCGTCTAGGTAGGTGTATGGATCTGTGAAGTCTGAGTTAGCATCTCTGTAACCTCCCCCAAGGAGGACTGTGCTCAACTGTATTCACACCACAGCAACATGGAAGTTTGGGCAGGCTCCAGGGACTCGTTCCTGCGCCGTGTACATGTTCTTGGAGTGTGGGGAACAAAACGATTTCAGAAGAAGGGCAGTCAGCACTAGGGAGGACGGGACAAGTGTTCCCCAGGATCTCATAGGACAGTCCTTGCCACCTGCAAAGTGAGGGGCTGGGTGCTACTTGTCAGGCCCATTTCTAATGAGTGCAGTTTTCAATATTCTTAAAACTTATTCATAAATCCCAACATTATCTTGTGCCCTTGCAAAAAAATCGATCAAGGTTACCCCTCTGGAATTCCCTCAAACAATCCCCAGATCCTTCTGATCACTCTGCGTAACGGAGTCCCTCAGAAGCCATTGTTTTGACTGGGCCTTGCTGTCTGGTTCATACTGGTAAATCGAAGACTTGCTAGTTATAATCCATTCTGTCGGCCACCAGCTGTGATCTTGCTCAAAAGACCAATGGAAAGGACGGATCTTCTCTCTAGCTGATTTTCAAGCAATACTTTCGGTCCCCCTCAAGATGTTTCCAGATTAAGATATTTAGAAAATGACACCATGTGGTGTCATTAGACTGCAGGCTCCAAACCTCACAATGGGGAGACACAATCAGGGAATATAACTTATTTTCAGCAAGTTACAAATTTAAAAATCACATGCTGTATATTCTGGTTATGTAAATTTTTAAAACTCTTCTCACTCAAATTGTGTGGGTATATGTCTGTATTGTGGGAATAGAGACTGCGTGTAATGATGTTTGCATTCACCTTCTTTGAGTGCTGATGTGTGTTTGTACATGCCTCAAGTTGAGTGTGTGTGTTAAACGTGGTATTCAGAAAATTAACTGTTGATTAGCCAATCTAATAATTGATCTGATATTTTTTCAGTTCAATGTGTATAGTATTGCGAGTCAATACTATTTATATGTCAACTATATAGATATATGTTTTCTTATCTTTTTATCTTTAGGTGATGACTGTCAGAAGTTTTTTTCCTCATTACCTTGTGGTGGACTTGGGGTGAGTGTGAGTTCATTTATTACTATTAAATAATAAATCTTCAAAAAAAGTCTTTGTTTTATCTATGCCCTTACTGTTTCTCACTCAAGATTTTATTAGACTTCAGGACAAGCTCTATAGTTTGCAGGACCCCATATTAAATGAAAATGATTTCAAAAGACTGTATAGTTTTTTCAAAATTTCTTGTTGACAAAGTACTAATAATTTCAAGATGATGACAATAAATCATTAGACGAGTGTGCGGCCTTTATAAGGGTAGAGTCATATGGCCTGCACAGAACACATGCCCATGAAGCTAACTCTCCAATACTTTCATGTCACTGAAAGTGCGCTTCACAGCGTTTTGCTGCAGAAACCACTGTTTCGGTCGAGTCGCACTCAGTAGGCCTGCATACAAGTATCACATTTCTCTTGCAAATGTGGCAGGGACTTCACAAGGTGCTTTGCATTGTGGGCAATGTTTTTGAGAACCTCCTGGGGCCATTTTTATCTTCCATAATCGACAAAGCCTTTTGACCCAAGATATTTATACCACATTTCAAGGACAAATTTGCTTGAATTCGGCGACATAGGAAGAAAAATGTGTACATTTTTGTGGATGATTAGAACATACCCTCTAACCTGCAATTTATTTAAAGTTAACCCTTACAATGCCAAACTGTCATCTGTGGAAGTTAGTGCAAAGTCATGTCAGGACAGCATCATTCTAGATCAGGTTTCTAAGGAAGAAGGAATTTCAGTCAATTAGGCCAGTAGGCTCTTGTAGAGGAATAGCCAACGTAACTGTGTGTATACTGTGTTTAGGAAGTTTTCATGTGGCTGGAGCTAAATGTGATACAGTGAAATCTCATTTCTCTGTATAGTTTTAGAACCTTCTATCATTTAATGATGTGATTGGAGCATCTAGTATCCCCTCTATTTCTCCACATGCAATTCAGTGCCATGTGAAAATAATGGCAAACGGCAACCAGTATCTGTTTGGACTTTAGAGTTTGCCAGCAGCTATTTGAGTTTTCAGGGCAATTCTGTGAAGTAAAATACTCTGCTGCTTCCTGATGAGAAGCGGAAAGTTCTGAGAAGTGGAGTTGTTTTGGTTGATGTGCAGAGCTGGGCAGCCTCTGGAGACCACTGTGCAGGGTGTGGCCCTCACCAGTGGTGGATGGGGTTTGCTCAGTTGACTTCCAGCACCCGGTGATCCGCACCACACACTCATCCTTGCTTATGCTTAGCAAAGCTCCTATGAAGTTGGGAGCTAGCAAAGGCATTGTAGAAAGCAGAGGATAAACTGCCTTTTAAAATGTGTTTCATTGGCTTTTGTTCTCCCTATTTCCCGCCCCCCCAGCATCCCAAGTGGCCATTTTAAGAGATTGGCTGAGTACTTGCAAATGAGTCAAGGAAAGAAACAAAACTAATCACCAGTTGTTAAAAGAGCAGTGGTCCTCAAACCTCCACTCCTTTACAAATTGATTTAATTCACGTGCCAGAACTGAGCCGAGGACCACCCCCTAGCATACACTTTGAGTGTGACCTGGGTTGTGGCTCTAACTCACAGTACCTCTTCTCAACTGCTGTAAGCACATATGGAGGTAACTTCTTATCCTTAGGCAGAGCTGCCTGACTCAGCACTTAGAGAGTCAGGCACTGCTACTGCCGATCTGGTGTTTAAAACTCAAAGGGCAATTGATTTCAGAGACTGTTGTTCTCAGCTCCCACGGGAGTTCAGTCTGACTCATGCTGACCATCAGTCCACAGAACTAAATGTTGCCTGCTCCTGCGTCATCCTCACAATTGCCAGCATATTTGAATCCGTGTTTTGAGTCCACGTGACTCCATCTCACCAAGGATCTCTCTCACCCTCGTCGGCCCTCTACTTCACCATACATGTTGTCCTCCTCTAGCGATTAATCCCTGTAAGGACATCTCCAAAGCAGCGGAATCAGACAAGGTTCTGTTCTGATCCAAATGCATTGACAAAGGTTCAGAAGTAGCTCACCAACTCTTCTTCCTAGTCTGTCTTAGTCTGGAAGCTCTGCTGAAGCCTGCTCACGAATGAGTGGCCTATTGGTATTTGAAATACTGGGAAGGTAGCTTCCAGCATCTTGGCCACACTCAAGCCACCCCAGTATAACAAACTGGTGGATGAGTGTCATCGGATGTCTCAAATAATGTCCGCAGACGCTAGATGGTGGCAGTAGTGATGGTAGGCACATCTAAAAGTTGATCATGAAGACAAGAGAGTGGGAGGAAAGCTAGATTAATTCCCTCCATCCATTTTGGATAAGGTTGGAGAGAGGGACCTCTGTGTTTGGCAAGAGGTCCATAAACCTTTTCATGGTGTTTATTTAGGTCCAAGTGAATGTGAATGTGTGTGCGCGCAAGTTTACTCTTGCTGATGCTCTAGTGAACTAGTTTATTCATTCCGTGGGTGTGTTTTGTTTTGTCTTGAGGAACCCAATTATGTTCTTAAGGCACTCGGGAGCCAGTTTACCCCCTAAGATCTTTACTCTTGACTCAAGTCATAAGAGATATGTTGGTTCTTCTGGCTTTGACCCAGTATACATGTTCACCTCCAGGACAGTCCTAGACAGATTGAGCACACAGAACATGCCCAGTAGGTACTCGGAGGGGTCTAAAATGATCAAACCTGGGAAGCACCCCAGAAAGTTTAGAAACAACTGAAATTGCTTTGGTCCTAAAGCCCTCTTCTGGGGTTCAGATTGTCTAAAATGGACCCCTTGCTTTGAATTCCAAAATAGTCAATGCTCTCCAATTTTTCAAAGTAAACTCTGGTTTACTTAGAATATATACCTTCCATCTGAGGTGAGTTTAGTGGTTGGCTTTGGGGAACACTATCTAGGCCATTGTGACATCAGGAAATCCCTACTTCTTATTAAATTTTCCCTTAACATTTCATAAAATCGATAATTTGGGCCAACCAGCTTTTCACGATCAATTGGCGAATGGTATGTAAGGGCTTTGAAGTGTGTTCTCCAGAACTGCATTTTGAGCAGTACTCGCAAGGTTCCCAGATTCCTCGGTGTGTGGATCTGTTTCTTTCTTTACTCCTGACTCATGGCCGAGTCCTGTGTGAGCACGCTGCGAGAAAACCGTGCCCGTGGAAGCGAGGGCATTGACCACCCCCAGCACGAGGTCTTTGACAAAAGCCAGTGTAGGACCACTCTAGTTCTCCCTCCTCCGTGTCCATCACTCCTAAGAGGGATTGTTTTCCTGTCCATCTGACCTGCTGCTAAGGGAAGCAATCTTGAAGTCATTTCTCAGCCTGTTTCCCTCCTCACTTGCTGGGCTACGAAAAGGAAAAGGAGAGAGAGAAAACCCACAAAGGCAGGGACGAGCCGGCTTTTATGATAATGTCGTCATCAGCTCCCAGCTTCAAACGCTTCTGCGGCTTTTGAGTTGTCATTTATAACTTGGAACCGAATCGACCCATAATTCCCCTGATACACTTAGAGAAATTGATAACAGACTGCGCTTCTTTCATGGCTCGGCGGAGGCAGCTCCAATCACATCACTATTGGCAGGCAATATTATTTTTTGACATGGTTGTAAAAGTATAAAGGGGCTTATGGCATTTGTTTAGATGAGGAATGGGCGCTCAAGCTGTGCCGGGGTTTACGAGACCAGATTAGTGAGAAGCAAAGGGAATATGATGTTTGCAAACAGGATATGATTTTATATAAGTTTGGGTTTCAAGCTCTGTTCCCTGGGGAAAGCCTTGCAGACAGCAGAGAATTCCACTTTTATTCTACAACAGACACATTTCTAGTGCCAAAAGGCAGGACGATAAACGTGGTCAACGGGCAGCGTGGGGCCTTGATTGGAAGAGGAGGAGCTGAGGACCGGACAGGGTAATTGCTGGGAGGACTGAGCAATTGCAGCGTGCGGGCAGAATCTTGGCCTGCTTCAGGCCCCAACGCTGTGCCAAGAACGGGGCTCTGGGAGGTGCAAGCAGATCACCCTGGCCGGCAGCAACTCAATGAATCCGTGAGCACAGAGCCAGCTTTTGCTGCCCAACGTTTACTCTCTGCATACTCTATTGGATGGCATCGAGAGCTGACACAGGGGGGAAGTGGGGGCTAGAGATGTCCTTTCTGTGAGTTTGAGAAGGGGTGCGGGAAGAAATTTGAGTTTGTGGGGATGTAATTTAAGGCTCATTTCAATTGTGTTAAGATTCACGTAGCGATTTCAGTTATTTAGTAAAGCTGCTATATAAGAAAGGCACGTTTGGGCGAAATGTCTGACATTTTTTTTTGTTATTGTTTTGTGTTCTGTTTTATTCTGTCAGAATGAAAATGGAAGCTCTCCCTTCTGAAATAGAAAATAAGTATACTTATTCTGATGATACATAGACATAGATGACAAATAGGTATAAATGATTGTAACTAGATGATAGGTAGGTAGGTAGATAGATAGATAGATAGATAGATAGATAGATAGATAGATAGATAGAAATGGAAGATGGATCCAGTAAGTAAGACCAGTGACTCAGTAGTTAAGCACTTGGCTGCTATGGGCAGATCAGTGGTTAGAACTCATCCATCAGTCCACAGTCAAAAAGACATGATAAGCTGCCCCCATCAAGAGTTCAGCCTCAGAAACCCTCTGGAGCTGTTCTATTTTGTCATCTAGGATTACCATGAGCCAGAATGGACACAACAGCAACATATTAAATACACATGTGTATAAAATACTTAATGGAATGAAAATAGAGTGGAATTTTCCCATAAAAATTTGGAGCCCTCCTCATTCACACACACACACACACACACACATGCATATGTGCATATATATTTATCATATACATATATATTAAAGAGAGAGAGAAGAAAATTCTGTGTTATTTTACATAACATTTAGATTTGCATTTTGGTTGCTGCCCCTCCCCACCTTTATTGTACCATGTTGTTCCTCCATTATTTATTCTTTCACATAATTGCAAAACAAAGTTCCTATCAATTTAATTCCTTGACTTTTTCTATTAG